AACCCCCAAAACCCCAAAACCCCAAAACCCCAAAACCCCAACAATGAACTAGATGAATGAAATAACCTTAATATAATTTTAAGAAATTCACTAACTTTTATTCAAATCTGGAAGATTATATTTTTGGCGATTTTCGTCTGACATTAATCTATATTACAGAGTTAGTTTAAATCCCCTAGCAGCCTGAATCGACTTATCATCTACAAATTTATGGAGACCCTTCTAGTAATCTAAGCTTCAGCTTGTCACAGTTCTACTAAGCTTATAATCTTAATCAAATTGTCACCTTAATACTAATAGTAACTCCAGATATTATGAAAATTAAGTTATGCTAGTTTTAAGATCATGTGATACCTTTCGAATTTTTCAAGAAATGAAGAATGTTTTGTCAACACGAGCGACTGTAAAATCCTACTGAAATAGAGGAAGTCACTCCTAAAAATGACAGTTATACTTCTGATAAGCTTATGAGCATACCATATGGGACTACTGGACTAAGAATTATTTCATACCTCTTTTTCAATTGGATAACTTTGTTGGCCTTCTTAGCCTTGTTCATCTTTACTCAGAATGGGTCCTGGGTCTTCTTGCTCTGAGCAACTCTAAGCCTATATTAATATTAGATTTAGTAAAATAGCAATCATAAAACTTATTAAACTCTTCATGAATTCGGGCGCTGGTTATATAGTAACAAATCGGAAGCGAACAATTTGAAATTTTAGAGAACTTGATTTGATTAACGCATTCTCTAGACTTCGAAACTTACTTTTTGAAAAACATCATGGAACCTTTTGAGAATGTGGGAGGTGTACTCTCTGGAGTGACAGTTGAGCTTTCAGAGAAGTTGAAGAAATTCTTTTTCAATTTCTTAATTGTGGAAAACTGGTTTACCAGATCTGAAGAAATTAGTTCATATTAATTTACTCTCTTTATATTTACTTGGGGTCTGAAGGGGAGAACTTGGAATGGGAAGAGGAGAACTTGGAATGGGAAGGGCAGAGCTTGGTTTCTCCCTTAAATTTTCTGACTTATTTCTAATCCCTCTGTTCTCTCTTTTTATCTCGAACGGGCAATTATCTATGATAAGTAAATATATGCTGAAAATCGACCTTCTTACTTATATGAAACAGATCTTGAAAGTTCGATAGTATTGGAATGGTGTTAGCTGATGCATTAGAAAGAGAACGATTTTGTTTCTTCTGAATACTTGGCAAAATGCCTGCTGAGCATCTTGAGATAGCTCTTGCCTTTAACTCACTCTTTGAAATAGGAGCTAGTTTGACAGTTCTGTGGGGACCTCTTTTATTCCTTGAGTTACTTATGTTTTGAAGAGTTTCTTGGTCTATAGTAAATTTAAGTATTTCTAAATGTTGACTTGTAGTTCTATATCATATCTTATTTAAAAGAACAATAATTGGATAGTGCTACAATAAGAAAGTTAGTGAAACATTAAGGTTTGAAGCCAGGAGGGATAAACTCGCCTAGAAGCTCTGAATACATTCCTCATCTATTAAGTAAACATGACTTTACCTTTTTCAAATATATATTGAAATTTGCTGATTTTATCATTCTTCTCATGCTTCATGTGAGAAGCATGAGCTTTTGGAGGCAAAGGAGACAATGGAGGTCTCTTATTCATACCCTTAAAGTTTTGGCGAATAGCTTTTTCAAGCTTCTTTGAGGCAAAAATATCGCTCAAACTTGAGACTGACATAGGTGAAGTTATTCTAGTTAATTATTATTAACATTCAACTCTAAGAATTTATAGTGGGGTTTTGGGGTTTTGGGGTTTTGGGGTTTTGGGG